TTGTTTTAAAGAGATCTTTTCTTACTTTTTCACTAGCTGCAATGGTGTCTTTCAGGTCAGAAAGTCTATTTTCACTAACACGCAAACGGTTTTGCCAGCATGTTATTGAGGTTTTAATTTCCTGTATATCACTTTGAATCTGTTTCATAGATTCTACTTCTTTCCTAAATTGTTAATTCAGGGGTTCCATCATTTTTATATTCTCCTCTATTTTTTTATCATGTATTCTTTAGAAGCACTTAGTACTTCTTTGATTATAGTTACCACATTTTTTTAGTTCTGAAATTATTTCTGATCTGATTTCTTCTATACCTTTCTGCAGTTGATTCTTTACTGTCAACGCTATCATTTCAGAGATATCTGGCGTGTGATTTCCAGTTTCCTCAGTGCTAGTGTCTTCTGCATTTGTACTGGGTGGACTCGGGGCCTGTGACTGCATTTTGTTCCTTCTCTTTGTCATTTTGTCTACCACTGTTGTCTTAGTTACTTTTTACTCCTTGCTGGGACAAATACCCGACACACAAAATGAAGGAAGGAAAGGTTTATTAAACTCACTGTTACTGGAGGGTTCAGTCCATATTCCGCTGGCTGCAAGGCAAACAACAGTAGTTCATGCAGCAGAAAACAATGAAGAGCAGAGGAGGAGCAGCAGCCACAGCAGCGTCCATCAAGCCTCTCTCTTCCCTCTGCGCTGACTGCGAAGACCAGCGCTCCACAGTGAAGATCCGGAGCTCCTCCAAAGTGGCGCGGCTGCTGAGATCAAGCTCCTTCGAAGACTGAGACTTCTCCATGGAAGCAGGGCGGGGCAGCAGGAAACCAGGCAGGGCGGCTTCCTGCCTTTCTCAATTCCTGGGCCCTGCCCACCTGAAGGGCGAGGCCCCCATACTGCCAGAGCTGATTCAGCCAAGTTGACACAATGTATCAACTAACACAACTGTCTTCTCATCTTTGGTGTAGAGCTTAGATAGAGTTATTACCGTAGCACCAGGTCCGGATCTATGAAGTTCAGATTCCTCCAGGTGGGTGTTGTTTGGTTCTGGCTGTGTGCGCCACTTCTTTCTGCTGCAGGCCTTAGAGTTGAACCCTTTGTGTCTCTCTGGCAAGATATTTTGCTCCTGAATCAGCTGGGTAGGTCTTGCTTCTAGTCTCTTTGCAGGGAGTTCTGCTGAAGGGTTCCCTGCTGGGCCTGCAGGCTGGGTCGAATGAGGATCCAGTGGGCCCTGGGTCGTCTCACTCACTCACTGGGCCTGTGCTCTGGGTCTGTTCAGGATCCCGCGACCTGGGTCCTCTCACTCACTTGCCCGGGCCTGCGCTCTGGGTCTGTTCAGCATCCCGCGGCCCTGGTCGTCTCACTCACTCGCTGGGCCTGCGCTCAGGATCCTGCGGCCTGGGTCTTCTCGCTCACTCCATTTGTTCTTTGTTTTGAGTAGTTTCTTTCCCTTTCACAATATCTATTGTACCTTTCAGATTTATTTACTTTTTCAGATGTATGAGTGTTTTAAACAAGTTTTAAAAACAATTTAAAGATTCCCTATATTTTAATAACATACTATATATCACAAATGAACCAAGATGGAAAAATTCTCAGTAAGATGCTAGGAAACTTATTCAGTAGCCCATTAAATGGATCATACACCATGACTCAGTAAGAATTACTTTGGGGATGCAAACATGTTCATCTTCAGGACATCAAACCATGTGATACAGCACAGTAACAGAACAAAGGATAAAAATCACATGATCTAGTTGATAGATACAGAAAAAGCATCGGGCAAAATTCAGCCTATTTTCTTGATAAAAACTCTCATGCAACTGTGCGTGGAAGGAAGTGTCCTCAATGTAAATGTGACACTTTTATGAAAAAATTCAGTTAATATCATTACTCAGTCGCAAAAACCTCAAACTCCTTATTTGTAATCAAGAACAAAGCAAGGATATCCACTTGTTTCATCTCCATTCACCACAGTACTGGAAATCTTAGCCTGTGCAATTAGGCTAAAAACATAAAATTAAGCAAATAAAACCAAAAACCCATGCAAACCAAAAAGTAACAAAATAATGTCTTTGCAGATGACAAGAATAACTACCTACCTACCTACCTATATTCCCAAAGACCTAACAGAAAAGTTAGAATAAATGCGACTGACTCAAGAGATTTAAGACAAATCTTCACTATATACAGACAAGATCTAAAGATACTCTCACTATAAATAAAGCAAACCAAGTTGTATCACGCAATCAAATAGAAGCTCCTGCATGCAAGACATAATCCCAAAATAAAACTTTTTTCTTTCCATTTTATGTGTTTGGTTCAGGGTCTCACTATGCAGCTTGGACTTGCAGTGATCCTCCTGTTTGCAGCCTCCCCAGCGCTGGGTACAGGTGTGTACCACCATGCCCAGACTCCTCTTGGTTCTGTTCACCCTGGGGAGGGGGTGGGGGCTGGCACAGCAAGCAGGACCAGGGATTGACTATGGTCCTTGCACTGGCCGAAGGAGGTGTGTAGTCCACTGAGCTATCTCACTGGCCCTTCAAAATGAAACATTTCTTGCACAACATCAGCTGAAGGTTTGAAGACACAGAAGAAAAAAATCAAAATCTGAATAAAATGAGAAAAAAATGTAACTGTCTCTGAGAAGTATTAAAATAGTGGGTTGAAATATTTTCTC